CTGAGCTTTGCCAAGAGCAAATGGAACTCAGATATCAAAAGGTCTGAGTTCAGTTTTCACTGAAGACAAAGGGTGAGTAGATTGTGAACTGAGCCAAATGTGCTCTCCCACCCTTAATTTACAGTACATTGTTTTGGCAGACTCTCCAACTCTGAAAGTTGGCTTTCTTCTCCCATTCCTCTCTAGGGTGTAACCATAAGCCTATCTTTTAGTTAAGTTTACGAAGAGAGAGAGAAAGAGAGAGAGAGAGAGAGAGAGAGAGAGAGAGAGAGAGAGAGAGAGGACGCATATTACATCAGTTTGTGAGGACCTCACTCATCATAGCTCCCATAGCTATCAACTTCATTAGAGCACATAGAAACATTGGGAAAAGTTAAAAATCTTCTCAGAAGCTGTATTTTCGTTTGCTCTACTGCAAGGATTTTATTTTCAAAGTCCCTTCAGGTGGGAGTTTATTGAAGGAATTTTTGCCATAGCCCCCATCAGTACATAGTCAGGATATTAACCTGTTATTAACTCGAGTCCTGAAGAATCGCTATTTATTGGAATGCTTAGGTTTGGAAAATAAACATTTCTCTCGCTTTGCCTCCCAAAGAGAAAGGCAGAATGAGGAGTACTTATATATATATATTTTCCTTTTTTGACAGCAATGGAGCTTGAACTCAGGGCCTTGTGCACGCAAGGCAAGCACTCTGCCACTGAGCTAAATTCCCAACCTTTTACTCACACAAAAAAGTCTGTGTAGGTGTGAGTCTGTGCCGCTGGGTGTGTGTGGAGGTCAGAGAACCACTGAGAAGGTTCATTTCTCCTTCCATCAGGTGGGGCCCAGGGGTCAGACACAAGCCGTCTGGCTTTGAGGTTGATTTCTTTACTCTATGAACAATCTCCCGAGCCAGACATAGGGAAAAAACCCCAAAAAACAAAAGAAAGAAATAAGAGCAACAAAAGAAAGACAAAAAACCAGGGAAAACAGAAACTGTTTCAGTTTCTGACGTCCCAAGATAAGCACCAAGACACTAGAGATCATTTTGCTTTTATTCTGAAAAAGCATTTGCACTATAACAGTTTGTATCTAAATCTACAGCTATGTGCTATAAAAATGGGATATTATATTATTCTATAATATTTTTTCATTTTTTAGTCCTCAATTATTAATAAAGCTATAATTAGTCATGCATAAGATCCAACTGTGCAAGTGATAATTTAAATGATTCAGTAAGGAGTCTTTTAATTAAAAGTGACAGAAAACCCATGTCAAAACGACTTAAGAACAAGAGGAAATTTTTTGGCTGACATCTGAAAGGTGTAATGGGAGATGTGGTCCAAGGCCCAGCAAGACTCAGGGCTCAGGTGCTGTTATGAGGTCTGTTTCTCTCCTCTCCCCTTGGTCCTTCTGCTGCCTTTGTACCATCGGAAGGTCGCATGTACAGCCAGCCAGCACTCAGGAGCCAGCAGCTCAGGAGCCAGCAGCTCAGGAGGCCAGCCTCTGCTGCTGCCTGGCAGAGGAGAGCAAGGTCCCATTCCAGCCTTATCATGCAAACCTCACTGTTCGTATTGGTCGCTCAGCAATCGCTGCGCCTCTTACTGTGGGTTTGCTTCTGGGTCACAGCACCCCTGGGATTCAAATGTCTCACCTGGACCACACAGACTGAAAACAAAAGCTGGAGGCACAGTGACAGCTGGGCTCCATGGACAGCACGGTTATTGGAGTGAACCGTGGGCGGCCCAACACCAGTCTACACAACACACGTTTGGACTTTCAGAACTCGCTTTATGCTAGTTTTCTAGAACTTTTATAACAGACTGCCATAAATTGGTGGCTCAAAACCCAGAAACTTATTATCCCAAACTTTTGGAATCTGAACATGTAAGATCAAGGTATCTATGGGGTCACTTAATTTTTTCCTCGAGGGAGAATCTGGTCACACTTCTCTCTTGACTTTGTGTGGCTCCTGGCCATCTTTGTGCTTGCCTTGCGGATGCGTCACTCTGATCTCCGTCTCCATGCCCTCATGGCATTCTTCCTGTACACACCGTGTGGCCAGATTCCTTTTAAAATTAGTCATATTGGAATAGAAGCCTGTCTGTTCTGAAAGGATTCATTTTAATTAATCACATGCCCAAATAAGATCAGAGGAACTGGGAATAATCTATGATTTTTGGGGGTGGGTAGGGGTGGGGTAGGCACAATTCAATTTATAATGCTTTCACACACTTCCTGTTTCTATTTCCATCCAAGACACATCTGAGCTGAATTCAAACGCTACAACCAGTCACTTCCCTCTTTCCACTGAGCAGGCTAGCAGTTTAGATGAAGCCACTTCAAGGGCCCCTTACATAGAACTTGTGGTGATATTTTGTTGTATTCTAATAAAACTTGCCTCAAGATCAGAGGACAGAGCCAGCCACAGAGTTAAACATAGAGGTCAGGCAGTGGTGGCATGACCCCCTCCTCCAGGGTTTCTCTGTGTAGCTTTGCGCCTTTCCTGGAACTCACTCTGTAGCCCAGGCTGGCCTCAAACTCACAAAGATCCACCTGGCTCTGCCTCTGGAGTGCTGGGATTAAAGGCATGCTCCACCACTGGCGGTGGCACACGCCTTTAATCCCAGCACTCGGGAGGCAGAGATTTGTCTGGACCTCTGTGAGTTCAAGGCCACACTGGGAGAGAAACAGAGCCAGGCTGTGGTGGCACACGTTTTTAACTCCAGCACATGCCATTAATCCCAGAACTAAGGAGGTTGAGATAGGTGAAGTGGCTGGGCAGAGAAAGGCATATAAGGCGTGAGCAGACAGGAACTAGAGAGGCCCTTTCCGCTGAGGACTCAGAGGCATTCAGTCAGAGGATTTGTGGAGACAGGATTGGCTGAGGAGTTGGCGAGGTGAGAAGTGGCTGTGGCTTGTTTCCTCTGATCTTTCAGCATTTGCCCCAATATCTGGCTCTGGGTTTTTAATTATGTGACCATTTAGGATTCGTGCAACAAGAACTTGTTGGTTTTGTGTGTGAGAGCGAAGAACATCCTAATGCCAGAATGTACATTGTAATTTTCATCACGTATGAGCTCAAGAACTTTGGGCAGTGAACTTGCTTTCTGAAAACCTCAGTCTTTGAAAACAGTAAAACGTGCACAAATAGTCTCTTGGTTCACTGGGTTGTCATAGGCTAGACAGATATCGATCAGTTTGTGTCAGTGTGCCTACCTACAAAGACGCGAGGTCTACAGACCCAAACCACACTTAACCCTTCCTGCTCTCACCCTCTGCAATTATTCTCAGAGTTTTCTTCCTGGGATTTCCCCAAAGAACTTCAAGGCCATGAAGGTGGCTTTGCTATCTTGCAAACAGGAATTCAAGTCTAGACTAGGGAATACCCAGTGTTTCTTTCTCTCCCCTCTAATGCCAGACACAAATTCTGAGCCAGCTCCTTTCTCCTTGGCAATGTCTATGAATTGCTCGCTGTCTTTTGGTTTTACTTAGAACTCCTCCTGGTAACTGGTTTTCTCTCTTGCTATTCTTTTGGGTGTGGGCAGGAGCCAGTCACGTTGTTTACAGTCTCCTTTTGGCTCCATAAACTTGAGGAAATGAACAGACATGCTCTACCACATACCTTCTTTTCTGGCTTGTCTAGGTGCTCACATGAACTGGGACTTTCAGTACTGGAGGATAGCAGAACCCATTCGACACAGGTGTATTAGGACTTGGGGGCACCCATCAGCTTTAAAAAGTGCAATTTCAGTTAGTGCCAGGTGTTGTGATAAGCACTAGGGACATAACAATGAACAGGAGAACCACTGTCTCTGCTTCTGAGAAGTGTGCAATCTGGGGACATTTATTTTTGCAGAAAACGTGAGAATTTACTGAATGTCAGCTATTGCTCATTTTTAAACAACAGAAACAACTCCTGTATTGAGGGTTATGGTATGTCTGTAGGGTAGAGAGAAAGAGGGCAGAATATATTTTTAAAAGATAAAGTCATGTGAAAAATGGTAAAAGCTGTGGGGAAAAAAGCAGGGTCAGGGAGACTGGATGTGGCAGAGGGGGGTTATAGCTTTAAGCAGGTTTCATTGAGGTTGTGGCACTTGGAGGAAGGGACCATGAGTGTGCTCAGCCTTTTCAAGGTTATTGAAGGCCAGCAATGAGAGGTGTGAGCTGTGATTTCATCCTGAATGAAAAGGGGAATGTCTTAGTTTCTTTTCTCTTTGCTGTGATAAAATATTCTGACAAAGGAATTTTCGCGGTAAAGAGTTTATTTTTTGACTTACAGTTCCAGGTTACAGGTCACCATAGCAGGGACGTACATCATAGTGGACAGAAGATCGAGAGAACTGGTGTCACTCATAGTCAAAAGCCGAGAGCTCATTTCCACCGATTTGTATTGTCTAAGATCCTCAGCCTAGGGAGTGAGCGGTTCTACTCACAATTAAGATGAGTCTTCTCATACTAATTAACGCAATCAAGACAATCCTCACAGACAGGCCAGAGGCGTTTCTCTTAGGTAATTCTAGAGCCCATATAAGTTGATTACAGTAAACACCACAGGGAACCTCTGGATAGGATTGTTCTGGCGGTGGAAGTGATGTCATCAGATAGGTGACAGGTAGAGATGATGAAAAGTGGGTGGGTTAGAGACCTATTTTGAAGCCAGGACCAATCAGATTTTGGGCAGATGGGGCATGGGCTGGGAAAAAAGCAGACATCACTTCAAGATTTTTGCCCTTTAAGGACATGGAACAAACAGCCACTGACTGAGATGAAAAAGCCCTATTTGTAGAACGTTTTTGTGTATGGGGTTAGGGCTTAGGTTTGGACGCTTTGACGTCAGTAGTTACCCAAGTGAAGTGAGCAGCAGGTTTTAAAGCTGTTTGAACAAAATCATTTGGGTGACATCTCTAAGGTCTCAGCAAGTTATATCCGGATCCAGGGTCTCCAGGACCCTAAAATAGGTTCTTACAGAGCTGGTCACGACACACTAGTCTTAGCTGACCTGAAGGCTGGAACATACCTGGGAAGCACTGCAGTCTAATTAGCCGGCAAAACTCTTCTTCCTCTTTGGGGAGGAAGAGAAGCGCTGTCGCACGGCAGCACGGCGCCTTCTTCCCAACTGGTTGCAAAGGGCACCACCCTCTCCCAGCAACAACAGCCTGCAGGGGCTCGGAATTCTGAAACGTGGCCACGCCCCCTCCAGCAATCGGGCGGAGCCTAAGGGTGGGGCGGGGTCCTGCGTGAGCACGCCACAGAGGGGGGCGTGGCCTGCCCGGTGCGCGCGCCTTGCCGCCGGTGATCAGCTGGTCTGCGCTCCCCTGACGTGGGCTAGGGCACGTCACCGCCGAATGGCAGCCTCCAGAAAGCCACCGCGAGTAAGGTGAGGGGACTGCGCCGGCTGGCCGGCATCCGGGCGCGCGAGCTGCACACCCGGGAGGGTAGGGAAGAGAGGGCGAGGAGCGGCGGGCCCGCGGCCGTCGGGGGATGGCCAAGACTGGCGGGAGCCTTCCGAGCTGGAGCCCGGGATCGATCCGTGCAGCCGGGCAGGACTCAGCTCGCTTCCGGCGTGGCCGCGGGCACCTCCGGGCGGCCGGATCCCGTCCTGGGACCCGGGCGGGCCGCGATCTTCACCAACCCCGACCCGGAGGGAAGGCCCTGCTATTGCAGGAAGTTGGTCCCTCTTGAATCCACCCCGGGTACCCAGAGGTGGTTGTGTCCCTGTCCTCACCCTCCCCTTCCCGCGGCAATCTAAAGTTACAACCCTGAGCATTCTGATGTCTGCATTTTACCTCTTATCCACCCCCTCCACAGAGACAGGCAGCTGCGGGGCCCTCCCCACACAAATGGTCTCTGGAGCTCTATCAGGAAACAGATTGGCATAACCTTCCAGAAAAATCCCACCAGGAAACTGGTCTAGGTGCTCCTTGGACACAGGAAGTGCGAAGATATTTCTTAGCCTCATGTTGAACATGTTTTAGTTTATTCTCCCCCCAAACCAGGCACACTTAGCTGTTAAAAGTGGGAAATAAGTACACAAAGGCCAGAATTAAAACTGTGGTGCTCCACAGAGGCTTACCAGTCCTCTAAGACCACCAGTTGAGGCTCTGGTGAACTCATGAGAAACTGCAGCCCGACTTATTTGTAGAATTCTGACCATATTATGCTTGTGTTTTGTGAGTGGACAGACCTCAATCCTACCTTGACTTGGACCTGGTTTTGTGGCAGTACGTTAAGTACGACCAGAAATTCACATGTCCACTGTGGAGGGGTGCGGGTAACTGTCCACATGGATAGACCTTTCTGGAAGTTTTCTCCTGGAAATAAGGTCAGGCAAGTGGAAAATAATGTAATGCTAAAGGCTGAGAGGAAGCATTGAGGACCAGACTGTAGTCATTGCTGGATCCATAGAGTGACAGTATTGGGGGTGGTCTTTGAACGTCAGTTGGTAGGCTGGGACAGGAGGCCTTTTGTTTCAGGATGCTTTCCTGAAGTGGTAGAATTCCAGTGCCATCCAGTGTACGAGGACTCCTTTCATTTTAGAAGGATGTAAAATGGAGCTGGGGTGGTGTTAGTGAAGCTAAAGCCAGAAGAGCCAGCACCGGCGTCTTCTGTCCTCCCCTTTCACTTCGGGCTCTAGTTTGCTCAGCTCTTGACTTGGGCAGACTTTTTCCTACAAGACTCCTAGGTGGCCAGGCGGTGGCGGCCCACGCCTTTAATCCCAGCACTCAGGAGGCAGAGGTAGGTGGATCGCTGTGAGTTTGAGGCCAGCCTGGTCTACAGAGTGAGTTCCAGGAAAGGCGCAAAGCTACACAGAGAAACCCTGTCTCGAAAACCAAACCAAACCAAACCAAAACAAAAAATACTCCTAGACCGACAGCCACATAGAAATAGTCCTACTTCGGCATGGTGAGACTCCTAGGCAGACAGTCACATAGAAACGGTCTTTCTTCAGCATGGTTGGAGCAGGACTCTTAGATCTTACTCTAACCAGACTCACTTGATTGTAAATGTTATCTGAACTAGTTGTCATGACCAGAGGCGTGTACTAACCAAGCCTGCATCCATGATGTAGCACATCAGTGATGGATACTCATTCCAAGTCTTGGACTGAAATGGAGAAGGTGGTCCTCAGGTCAAGAGGGTGGGCTCGGTGTGGAGGAAGACACTGTTGCCTCCTCTCCCACCCTCACAGCTTCTCCCATTTGTTTCATTTCATGGAATGTCGTTGAGCGCTTGGTTCTTCTTTGGCCTCAGCTCAAGCATTAGAGCTGTGTGATTCTCATCACAGACTGGGAATGGAGTTTGGATGCATACCTAGAACTCTGTTGGGATTTCTTTTTAAAATGAGAGGGAAAAAGGGAGACAAATGTATAGTTTTAAGTAGTTCGGGCCATAACCACCGTATGCAGATGGAGCAGGGAGTGTTCTGTACACTCTTTCCCACCGAGGTACCTTTTCTTCATGATCTGGAGAGGGTCTAGGCTTCAGAAGTTCTTGGAAGGGGTAGAACACTGAGGAGGGACGGGGACATCGAGAGGCCTGGACTCTGATTCTGTAATACTTTGCTTCTGAATAGTTGAATGGCTTTAATAATCACTGAGTTGTATACCTCACCGATGTTAAGCAGATTTTATCTCCAAATACATTTTTTTATATTTACTTATTTTTTATTTTGTGTATATGTGTGCGTGCGTGCGTGAGTTTTATGTGTACTGCATGTATGCAGTAGCCCTTTGGGGGCCAGAAGAGGGCATCAGATCCCCTGGAACTGAAATTACAGACAGTTGTGAGCTGCCATGTGGGTGCTGAGACCCTAATCCAGGTCCTCTGCAAAGAGCGGCAAGTGGTTTTGACCATAGAGTCATCTCTTCAGGTCCTTTCCCCACCCTGGCTCCTCCTCAGAACTCCTCATTTCCCCAGCATCCCATTGTCTTAAGCCCTTGGCAACCAGAAGTTTCCTTTGTCTCTCTAGGTTGCCCATTCTGGCCATTCATATAAATAGAATCATACACTGTATTTTTTTGGTGTGTGTGTGACAGTTTTCCCCTGAGTGTAATTGTGTCTTTTCACTTTTTCTTTTTACAGTGCTGGGGGTTGAATCCAGTCAGTGTCTTACGCATGCTGCATGCTGGACAAGGGTTCTACTCCTGAGCTACATCTATTGTCCTTTGAACAAGTTTTTATGAGGCGATGTTTTCAGTTTTCTTGAGTATATGCCTACCAGTGGAATTGCATGGGTTGGATAACCATATTTCTTTTTCTTTTCCTCCTCCCCCAACCCCCCAGGGTTTTTCTGTGTAGCTCTGGCTATCCTGAAACTCACTCTGTAGTTCAGGCTGGCCTTGAACTCAGAGAGATCCGTCTGCCTCTGCCTCCCAAGTGCTGGGGTCAAAGGTGTGCGCCACCACTGTCCGGCTCATATTTAATTTTTTTTTTTTTTTTTTTTTTTTTTGGTTTTTCGAGACAGGGTTTCTCTGTGTAGCCTTGCGCCTCTCCTGGAACTCACTTGGTAGCCCAGGCTGGCCTCGAACTCACAGAGATCCGCCTGGCTCTGCCTCCCGAGTGCTGGGATTAAAGGCGTGCGCCACCACCGCCCGGCTCATATTTAATTTTTAAGGGAACTGTTGAGTTGTTTCCAAAGCCACAGCACCAGTTTACATGTCATTAGCAATGCCTGATGGTTCCGACTTTCTACATCCACATCCATACTTGTTATTGTCTGTGTTTTTTTTTTTTTTGTTTTTTTTTTGTGGCCCGTGCCTTTAATCCCAGCACTCAGAATGTACAGACAGGTGGATCCTGTGAGTTTGAGATCAGCCTGGTCTATACAGTGAGTTCCAGGCCAGTCAGCTACATAGTGAAACCCTGTCTCAGACAAATAAACAAATAATATTTTGTGTGTGTGTGCACACGTGTGCCTGAGTGTGTGTATGTGCAGGAGCCAGCAGAGACCAAAAGAGGATGTTAGACTCTCTGGAGTTATAGGCAGTTGTGAGCTCCTGTGTGGGTGCTGGGACTGAACCTATGTCCTCTGCCAGAGCAGTAAGCACTCTTAACTGCTGAGTCATCTCCTGCCCCTGATTATCCCCCTCTTAGTGGGTGAGAAGTGATATCCTTTCTTTCTCCAGTGCTGGGGTAGAACCCAGGGCCTCAAGCATGCTGGGAGAGCCACTTGCTTTCCCCTGAGCTCCAGTCCAGCCATCATTGCTGTTCTGCAGACTTAGGATGCTCAGTGATGTTGAACGTCTTTTTTTTCTCTCCCTCCTTCATTTTTATTATTTTTTTTTTTTTGAGGTAGAATTGTGCACTTAAGTCTAGGCTGGACTCAAATTCGTGGCAGTCCCCCTGCCTCAGCCTCCTGAGTTTTAGGGATGCCTGTGTGAGCCACCACATTCAGTAGTGTTGAACATCTTGTCTATCTTTGACCATTTGAAGAAAGGTCTTTTCATATTCTTTGACCATTTTCAAATTATGGTTATCTTTTTATTGGTGAGTTGAGATAATTGGGGCCCTTTTGTCTAATCTCAGTCCCTGGTATTACTGTATTTTAGGATCCACTTGTCAGCTTATATATAGAAGCCAGCTGGAATTTTGATAGAGAATGTTCAATCTTATATTAACATCTTTTTCTTTTTGAGACAGGACTCTGTGTGTAGCCCTGGCTGTCCTGGAACTTGCTATGTAGACAAGGCTGGCCTCTAACTCACGGAGATCGACTGGGCTCTGCCTCTGAGTGTACCATCACACCTGGCGAGTTTTATATTAATGATAAGTAAGTCTTTGGATCTATGAATCTGTATATTCAGGTTTTATTTAACTCACATGTCACCAATCTTTTGTATATTTTACAGTATGCATTTTACACTTTCTTTGCTAAGTGTATTAAGTATTTTATTGTTTTTAATGCTATTGAACAGGGATTTTTCTTTATTTCTTGATGTTGAGAGCAAAGGTATGGAAGTATAATTAATTTTTACATACTGTCTTTGGTGAGTTCAGTTACTCCAGTTTTTGGTGAGTTCTTTAGGGTTTTGTCTGCTCAAATCGATGGCATTGCGAATAGAATTTTGCTTGTTTTTTGATCTGGATACTTTTGGTTCATTTCTTGCCTGATTGCCCAGGATAGAACCACAAATGCAGTATAGAGAGTAGTAATTTCTGTCTTGCTTCTTCCTTATATGGCAAAGCATTCAGTTTTCAC